GTGGAAGCAGTGCAGTGACCGAGCCCTGTGCTTGGTGTTCTGTCCTCGTTGCATTTGCTGAATGTCAGAAATCATACACTGGAAAGTCGGCATTTTTTGTGTGGGGGAAGATAATAGACAATAATAGATAATGGACAATAGGGTGCTATGGGCCATAGCAACATAGATGGGCATGGTCCTTATGACTCATGTGGAGAAGAACTCTCCTCAGGAGTGGGAGTAATAATCTACAACAAACTATTGTAACCAGTGAATGTCGCAAATGTCTCCATGTCTGCGTTCACTCCACACAGCCGTGATTTCTCTAAATGCACGATGTCACATAATTCTGCAGTAAATGCACTACCTTAACTTCCCTGCAAGAGGTTCACTTGAGCTGTTCATTTTTCTCCCTCCTCCCCCTGCCCTGGACCCAGTGACGCTATCTCCACTTCCACAAGAAATGACAGCGGCATTCTGCTCCTTGGAACAATGTTCTGCTTTATCTCCAGGAGACAACAGTAGGTGGTTTGCTTTTTGGCATTTCTGCCTCTTTTTGTTACTTTTCTAGGCTATTTGCCAAGGAAAAAAGGATCCTGCACTTTGCATTTCTATATCTTCTTCCAGTTGAGGCTCTCAGAACACTGGACAAACATCCTTTGATTTCACGCCAGGCTGCTGATGGCCAACAGGGCTGCCTGGGGCCTGCAGAGCACACACTCCCATACATTCTCCTGGGATGGCTGGGAGGCAGAGGTGGCACGGGTCTGTGAGGAACAGGTGGGTCTGTGAGGTTTGCCTGCAAAGCACAAAGCTGGGCCGGGTGTGAGGAGGGTGGCACAGCCTGCAGCAGGGAGGGAGAGCCTGCCTGGAAACCTGGGATTTCCAGCACTGCCATCAGCATGTGTGCACAGCTCACAGAGATAACACCCGTCCTGTTATCTCCTCGGAAGGATGAGTGAGGGGAAGGCCGAGGAATTAGACAGATTATAGGGATGCCAGGTGTTGCCAGGCATTGTGCCCCAAGCCCCTTCCATCAGCTGATAAAGGCTCTGGTCCCTCTGCAGACAGATGCTGGTGGCACAGGCTCTTGTATCCCATGTCTTTCCAGACAGGATTCTGAAGAGAAAAATGACCAAATCTGAGAACTACTTCTAAACAGCTGAAGTGTTAGGAGGGACGATCATGGTTACAGCAGCCAACATGACAGTACGGTCACACGAGCCAGGGCAGAATGACATCAAGCTTTGCCTCAGGTCACTCAGGCTCCCTTTTCCCAAGGGGCAGGAAGCACAGGTTTTGGAGCACTGATATTTCGTCAGAAACAACTCCTCCATTCACCTCACCTGGAAGCTGAGAGATGCCTCAGATTCTTCTCTCATTGCCCTGAAGACCCTAAATGGATCTGAAAGCCCACTGGGTGTTTTCATTCATGTTCTTTGTGTACGGATGTTCCTGGGTACAGTTTGGTCAGATTCTTCCTTCTCATTGGGCCTTGTGCTTTAATGCAGAGACTCTACACACACTCATAGGTACTTGTGTGTTTTTATTGTAGAAGGAATTACCATGGAAAAAAACCTGGGACTGGCACATCGATTTGCAGAAGTTCCTAAGAGAGCACACGAGCAGTGGGGCAGAACTGGAGACACTGAGGTACCCTGTGCAGAGCTGGGGCATCCTGGGGGTTTCAGATGAACTCTGAGGAAGAAGAAGAAATGTCCCGGTCAGCAAACGTGAGTAAACCTTTGCATGTACAAACCAGTATTTGTTCAGTCTTCATGAACACCCATCAGAAATCTTCAAACATGCTGTAAGTCCATACATGGTGACCCAGCAAGATGTTTTAATTTGTAGGTTTCTCAGATTCATCCCCTCCTCTCCATGGCAGCCCTCCGAAAGCCTACTCAGTTTTAGGAGCCTGGCACCTTTTTACACCGTTGTGCATCATCTCATACGAGAGCAAGGAGGACTCATGTCTGCTGGCAATGTCACTCTCTGTGGAGTGCTTCTACTACCGTGCAGTGAGCTCACAGAAGTTGATTTATTCAGCTTACTGAAGTGAGAGGTGATAGGAAACTTGATAGCTTATGTGCCTTCACAGGGACATTTCCTCTGCCTCGACTTGAATCTAATCCCTAAATTGGTGGAACAGAGTCCGACAAAGAGAAGGGAAATACAATTGTATGAAAAATGAAAATATTTTATTTGGGTCAAGTGGTTTTAAAAATGCCATTACATCATGCTGAATAAAGAGCAATGGATTTTCTGGCATTGGAAATCTTCAAGACCTTGTAAAATGAGGTTATGCCTTGGCTGAAAGGTTTGAGCTGCAAAAAACTTCCCTGGTGGAGCCCTATGATCCATGGCATCAGACACTGAGATGATGCCAGAAGCACCTTTGGGCTTAAAAGCTGGTAAAGTAGACTCATGGTTTTACTAGGATCATATAATAGTGTTTACTGTAAAGGGAGCTTAATACCTAACTTAATAAAGTTGTGGGCCAGTTGATATGATCACATGTAGAAGTAGTGACATTGAGATGTGGAGGAACCAACCTGCCTAAGAAAAGCAAGGGGCAGGAATAGGAGCCCAATACTTTCCTCCCAGTGACCAGACTGTTCTTCAGCTGTAGAATGATCCCTCTTGACGAAGAAAATCCTATGGTCTCATTTCTACTTCTTATTATACAACAGATTCTTGTTGACAACCACTCTAAGCAATCTCTCTGTGACCTTCTTACAGGGAGCTGGGAGGAATATTTGACTCATAAGTGATGAATTTTAGACTTCTAGTGAAGGATTTGGAATAATAAAAAAATATCTGCTTATTGTATAATATTCTGGCTTATCCTAATGCTTTGCTGCTAATACAAATTAAAACCTTTTTTTAAAATTAACCACCAAGTCTGATTTTTTAAGTCTTATTTTGATTGAAAAAACCATTTTGTGGGTCAAAACTGAAGTGGAGATACCATTCCTAACATCTTAACTGCATTCACATTGACACTGAGTTCAGGCCCCATATTTTACAGTATTGCCATATATATTGGATATGGCTCACTCTGAAAAACAAGAAATCTGACAATTTACAAGTAAGTGAAAGCAGTGCAATTCTGACAAGATTTTTTTCCACAAGTGAAGAGTGCTGGGAAGAAAAAAGACATTAGCACCCAATTTCTTTCTATTCCCATTTGTTCATCCCCATTTCAGTCTCCTCACTTCCCATGTGTTATTACACCTGCGTATTGTGACCTTTGGGCACGGACTCACATGTGCCTGGTTTGCAGAGGTGCCTGAAGCTGTGACAGGGGTGGCTTTTTGCCCAGTAGTCCCATTCATAGGTCAGGCTCATTGAGCTCACTGATGGGGGTGCTCAGCTGCCCCAGGTTCCTCAGCCGTCCTGTGGGGATGTACCCCAGCCCAAACAGCATTTTGTAGCTCTGCTGCCTTTATCTCATCTCATCAACAAAAGATGCTCTTTAACCAAAACTGAGACTGTTTTTGGTGCATGAATGCAGTAACGCAGTCACTGAGGGCATCCATCACATTAACTCCTCTCCAGTTGTCCTGCTCACACTGGCTCAGTGGGCTGAAAAAAACGAATGAGAGCACTTGATGGCTCTGGTGACCAGGTCCCACGTAAGGAGCAGAGGTTTGACATCCTGATGCATGTCCCATGCAGTCCTGCAGGTCAGGGAGCATGGAGGTGATGGGCAGTGGAATGCAACCTGCACCCAAACTGCTGCCTGGGAGCACCCTCCTCCTGCACCACCCTATCACTGGGACTGCCTACTTATTCTCTGGTTTTCCGTAAATCTGTGGGCATTTTAAATGGCTTTGATGCAATCATAGTTTATATTTTGCTTGGATTGTATTTGCACCTGCAGCCTAGAAAGTTTTGTGGTAGACACTTGGCAAACAAAGTTCATTCTTGCAGTGTGTCTGTGGGCTCACAAGCTGCAGTGGTGTCTCCTAGATAAAAGTGTTGGATGTTGGATCTCCATGCACAGCTACACTGACATTTAACCATGTGCACTGTATATTTTAGATAAGTTTAAAATGCAGAAGTGATAAGAGCAAATCCTCAAAACCAACAGTATTGGGTGTTTCCAGGTCTTTGCAAGTTTGGTGATCATTTGATAAAACAGAAGGAATATCTTTTATGGACTTCCTTAGGGTTTACTGCTTTCCTTTGCAAAGCAAACGGTTAAATTTGACCTGCTCTGTTAGCCATGTGTACCTTGGGCCTTTGGGGTTATTCAGGTTAGAAGAGAAAAGCAGAGACATAAATCAGGTTGTAAAATGGACTGAGGGTTTCTTTTGTGGCCACTGACATTTAAAAAATTCTTCAGATAAAGACTACCCACGATAAATATTTGCAAGTTAATGAAAGACTTGGAAACTTCAGTAACACATGTAAATATCCAGCATTTCTTCACAGAAATCCAGATCAGCAAACATACAGTAGGAAACAATAGCCATGAATGTTTGTTGAAGGAGATGCCTCTTCATATAAAACACGTTTATTTAATGTACACTGAAAATCAGATTTCCAAAGCAAGATTGAACATTAGAATTGTAAATAACGAGAGTCAAGTTGAATTTCCTTAAATATATTTAGGTAAGCTCCTCATGCATTGTTAATAAGGCACATTGGTTCAGTGGATCAGACACAGAAAGAAGGATATTCCTGTGCTTGTGCTGCACCCAAAATAATTCATTAAAAGAAAATACACCAACGTTAGGAATATATAAAAACAAGACTTGTAACGACTGTTGTGTATTTGTCTCCAGAAATTTTTATTTTTCTGCATAACAGATGCTCAGAATAATCCCAAGCTCACAATCCCTCACAGTATCTTGTTTTCTAAGCATGGGCGTAGTTTATTTGCTGTAGGAGATTTAAATCTTTAAACTAATTTCACATAAATAAATAAAATGCATAAGGTGTGGAAGCACAAAGGCTTCCTACACTTTTAAAGTATTCACACTTAAATTGTGTTATTAATCCAAACAATAGAAAGCTGTTAATCCTAGTTGCCTAAGGTTTTTTAAATCTCATTCTTTATTTAATGACTATAAGATCAATAGTAAATTTAAGGGCTTAGACACACCTACTCGATAACGTCAACACTGTTGGTAAAGAAATGCCTTTTTGAAAAAGAAAACCCTTTTAATATTCTCTTTTATATTCATACCTCATTAAAGTTAATAAGCAATGAAGAAATACAAGTTTAAGACCATTTGAATGAAACTCACTATGAGAGAATAAAATGTGCAGTTAAATATTCTATTTTCAGACAAAATCATGAGATGTCAGTTTACAGAAGATGCATATTGTGCCAGCACCCGGGAAAACAGCGCAGCCAAATAGCTGCTATTGTTCATACCCTAGGAAAATGAAAATCTCGTAATAACATAGGCATGGAAGTTGACTGTAATTTCACATTTAGGCCTTTGTTTAGAAATGGCTTGGGCTCTACTTAAGAGCAAAGTTCATGCAAGTGGCGAGGCAAGGCTGCATTATTACACAGCTATGACCAGCAGTGTGCACAAAAAAGGAATTCATCCCAAGGGGTTACGTGGCATGGCCAAGTCCAAAGCTCCAGGCTCCTCTGGTAAGTCACTGTGGCAGTGCCTGCATAAATAGGAGAAAATGAGGAGACTTCATGAACAGAAGACTTTGTTTTGAAAGAAGGGACAAGATCAATTAGCTACTAATTACTTCTAATGCTTCTGTCCAGCGTTCATGAGGCAGATGCACTGAGGCCCAACTTCACTGAAGCTTCAACACTTCTGACAGAAGAGAAGGATTTGGGTTTTGGTTTTGGCACTGTTGGATTCATCCTCCCACTTGAGTTCCCTGATACAGGGACCCTTGGGGTGACTGGGGAAGAACTTCCCAGCCCGTTTTGATGGTTTAATCCAAGAATCATGGAACCATGGAATCGGTTTAGTTTGAAGGGGCCATTAAAGATCAACTGATTCAACCCCCCTGCAATGATCAGGGACACCTACAGCTACAGCAGGTGCTCAGAGCCCTGCCCAGCCTGATCTTGAATTCTCCAAGGACAGGGCATCCACAACCTCTCTGGGAAACCTGTTCCAGTGCCTCATCACTCTTACTGTAAAATACTTCTTCCTTACATCCAATCTAAATCTGCCCTCTTCTGATTTGAAACCATTTCTCCTTGTCCTGTCACAACCAACCCGACTGAAGACTGTGGTCCCTTGTTTCTTACAGTCTCCCTATAGATACTGAAAGGCCACTCTCAGGTCTCCCCAGAGACTTTTCTTCTCCGGGCTGAACAACTCCAGCTCCCAACTGTCCTTGTAGGGGAAGTGTTCCATCTCTTGGATCAGTGGTTCACAATTTTTCCTGCCTGTACTTGAGACAAGATGAGTGGGATGAGACACAGAGCCAGTGGCTCGATCTGGCTGCATGCATTTGCTGAACACGTCGCATTTCCCATGTCCAGAGGAATCGCTGCTGCACAGCCAGGCTCAGCCCTGTGCTCCATAAGGTCGGGAACAAGCACTGTGGGGCCAGCCGGCCCAAGGGAACCACTGCCTCCAGTAACACAACAGTACTTCTTCAAAGAAAAGTGCTTGTGAACAGATCATCAACTGTATCAGCTACAGCGCTGTTTCTTCTGCACATCCATCACATCATGCTCCTTCAGCAATCAGTATTCCTTTCTTCAGCAAAACCTTCCAAGCAGCAAAAAGAGCAGGTCAGCTCTCTGAGTCTGCCCAATGGCCAGGAGGAGAGGCACACAGCAAGACAGCTGCTTGCTTGGATGAGTGGAAAGGAAAAGCATTTGGTGGAAAGCTCTCACTTTGAAAATTCCACCTGACCATCTTTATTAGCATTTTACATGCTGTACCACAGTGAACAAGTGCCACTTGCAGCCTAGTGGTCTCTGCCATTCTAAGCCAATCATGACAAAACCTTGGGCAGTCATAGAAAGTTGTTTTTAAAAGCTGGAGTGTTGCATCAGGACTTTCCACACAGCAGTGACAAGTGTTCTTCTATGTTCTCCCATGAAAACTTTTCCAGATACAGGGAGCTCTGACAGAACTCCTTATTGCTGAGTGTTGCTGAACTATTCCTGAGCCTACCCTGACCCTTGCAAAGGGACTGCTTGTGGCCCTGCTAATAAAGCAGCTTCTCTGCCGTTAGCTTTGCCATTCCGCTTTTGGGGTGCAAACTCTCTCTCTGAATGAAGTGAGCTTAAGAAATTTAAGAAAATTGCTTTTCTTAAAGAGACTGTACTATTATGAACAACAATAATATTTTAATCTTGTGTCATTAGGAGAAGGATGAATGGGAAATATTGGCCAAAGGCATTGCATGAATGCCTTATCTTCAGTAGGCAGGTACCACACTGACCCAGTGCAGGGGACAGAATCCCCTGAGAGGATTTGCTGAAGGGCACAAGAGCTCCATGCAAGGGACATTTTGGAGGCGTTATGGGAGAACTGGGCTCATGGTGTTTCTTTTCCTTCCTTTCCTCTGGAGCACAGGGTTTGGGCACAGCCTTGGCTTACCTGAAAGTTTATTCAGCAAGGGTGTCCCTGCTGTTGTAGGAACGCGTAATTGTAATGTTGCAGTTCTTGCAATGCTCCTCATCCCCATGTTTTGTTGATGGGCACCACTATTCTAGATGAAAACGAACCTGAAACTTACAGGGCAGTTTTCGGAAGCACTCTTTGACTCTGATGACGAGGGTTCAGGAAGGCAGGGATCATGGCTGGTCTAGGTATCAGTCACACTGCTGCCGGCGGCTGGAGGACCCAGATAGCCCTTTGTGTCCTGTCCCCTTCAGTATTAGCCGAGGTCTCTCCACAGACTGGGCACAGGCTGTGACCTTCAAAGAAGAGGTGAGATGTCTGCAGGAACAGTAAAAACAAAGGAGAAAGGACAGAGAGAGAAAGGTGCTAAGGTACAGAAGTGGAGGAGGGAGGTGATTAAGGCAGAACATGAGGCTTCCAAGCAGAGACCTTGCCTTGCACACATTGCTTTGCTGAGTTTCCCCTTTGCTTGTAAGCGACAAACACAGCTTTTAGTGCCCAGCTGCGCCGACAATACTGTCTACTAAACCATTGGAAACAAAGAAAAAAAGCCTACAATTCATCACCACAGGGCATATCCAAACCCCAACAACTTCAGTGAGATTTCCAGAGAAATCCCCTGGCTGATTAGATACTCCCATGCTCCCAAACTTACTTAGAGAGTTATCTCTTGGAGGAAAAATAAATGAAGGCATTGCTGGCAGCTGGGGAGCACTCTGGCAGTGGTGGGAGGCAATCGCCCCTTCCCCTGCCACTTCCTTCATTATGAAATAATGGGGCTGGCTGTGCCTGCAGACCCCGAGCTCTGTGGATGGCGAGTGGGCACTTAGTGGGAGAGGTGGGGGGGTGGGAAAGCAGGGGCAAACATTCCCCCAGGGCAGTTCTGGAGGGAGCCTGAACAGCTTATGCCTGTTTGAGATTCTGGCGTGAGCAAATTATGTTAGTCCATCACTTCTACTAGCACTAAAATTTATGAAGGAGGCACAAATGTTAAAAAAAATATATATCCAAAACAAACAAATGCCCGAAGCTGAAAAATAAATGAAGGAGCTAAAAGGGAAAAGTCGGAGCCAGACTACGAGCAGCTCTGTTTCCAAGGCAGTGGCCCGGGACAGCCGCCAGCTGGAGCTGGATGCCCCCTGCACCGCTGTGCCTCTGCGTCTTCACGGGGAGTCTGTCCCCGTGCTTCCCCCATCCAGGACACGGCCTCGCTCCATCCCCACCAAAGACTGAGAAGGAAAACTGCAGCGAAGTTCTGACGGTGGTGTTGAGCTCAGCTTGGTGCACAGCCAGTGGCAGAGACAGCTCGGACAGATGGTGAGGATGTCCCCAGGGCCCCACGCGGGCTCCCAGCAGCAGCGTGGAGATGGGCCAGCCCGGCAGGCTGCGCCAATGAAGGGCAGCTGCCATGTGGCTCGCGCCTCTGCGGAGGGAACCTTTCCCTCTGGCACTAACATGGATCCAGGAGGGAGCCCCTGGCCCGTGCCAGTTCTGCACTTGACAAAATGCTGGCAGGTACGCTCTGCTTTCCGCTTGCATCATGTCACTGGTGCTTGCCTGCACTGTCCTGGACACCAGTTGGCATCCAGCAGCAGTGTGGCACACACCTTACAGACTGATAGGTCTGCTCCTGTCTCCTCATACTGCGGTCCCTCTGCTAGCCCTGCTCAATTAAAAATGTACATTTGTATGAATTATTCCTCTTGCCAGCATTTCGTGTCCAGCTGCTCATTCCCCCTGCAGTCCGCCCTGTGTTCGCTCCTCTTCCTGAGGTGTGGGGCCTGGGCACACCTCCCTGGGGGCTGAACTGCTCTCCTGGGAACCTGCCCTCCCTGTGTGCCCTCACACGGCCCCTCCTGACCTGAAGAACTCTGTGTATGTGTGGGAAGAACGTCTAAGGACAAACCAACTGGGCGCACATCGATCAGGGACAGGGCTGGGGCAGGGAGAGGGACAGAGGCAGAGAGACACAGGTTGGAGAAGCGGGACGGGGGCACAGGGATTCAGGTGCCGGGGCGGCAACTGGGGAAGGATCAGCGGCAGGAGCAGAGCAGGGACCCGGGAGCAGCGCCAGGGGCCGGAGCGGGGACCCGTAGGCAGGGACGGGCGACAGACAAAGGGCAGCGACAGCGCTGGGTCGGCAGCCCGCGGCTCCGCAGAGGCATCACCGCACCCCAGCGCGCAGAGCGAGGAGCGGGAGGAGCGGGCGGCGGCGGCGGAGGAGGAGAAAGAGGTGGAGGAGGAGGAGGGACCTTCCCCTCCCTCCCACCCCGACACCGGGGGAAATAAATTATTCCCAACCCTCGCTCTCCCGGCTCCGAGCCCCGCACCCCGGCAGCGGTAGACGGGGACGGCGGAGCCGCTCGGGGCAGCGCAGCCTTCTGCGGGCGCGGAAGGGCCGCGGTCGCCCTTACCTCGCTCCGCTCCTCTCCGCGCCCCTCCGCGCTCCCCGAACTTCCGCGGGCTCGGCGGGGGGCAGCGCCCGCCCCGTCCCGCCCCGTCCGTCCCGCCCTGCGTCCCGTCCCGTCCCGTCCCGTCGCGTCTCGTCCCGTCCCGCGGGGAGCGGAGAGGAGCGGAGCGGCGCGGCGGCCCCGCCGTGCCCTGGATGCCCCAGCGGCGCCGGCGGCAGCAGCATGGAGCGGCGGCGGGGCGTCCCCGGGGGCTGGCCCTGCCTGCTGGCCGCGCTGGGAGCCCTGCTGGCGGCGGGACGTGCGGCCACCCCTCGAGCCCGCTTCTCGCCCTTCTTCTTCCTCTGCACCCACCACGGCGAGCTGGAGGGGGACGGCGAGCAGGGCGAGGTGCTCATCGCCCTCCACATCGCCGGCAACCCCGCCGCCTACGTGCCCGGCCAGGAGTACCACGGTAAGTGGCGGCCGCGCGTTGAAAGCTTGCGAGCATCCCCCGGGGGACACCCGCGGCGTCCGCATCTCCCTCCGCCCTCCGGTCTGCGTAGCCGGCGGCGGATCCCGACGCTCCGAAGTTGGTGCCGGTCCGTCCCCGCTTCGGGAGCCGGGGAACGCGTCCCGCTGGGGTGCGCGGTGCCGCTCGCGGTGCCCGGAGTTGGCCGCGCCCGGGGGATGCGGGAGCCGCGCTCACAGGTGGCGGCGGGGGGGAGGGGGAGAGAAGGTCGGGCGGGTAACGCCGCGACAGCCGCTCTCTGTGGGTACCTGAGGTGAGGAGAAACGACAGAGCCCCACCGCCGCCTCTTCGTAAGGCAAACTTTCGGGTGAGGAACGTTTCTAATTCATGGCCGCTTCAAGGTGTACTGGCGGATCCTTCTCCCCTCTTTGCGTCCGCTCGAGGTTTTGCGACGCTACGTAATAAGCGCTGATTTGTAATAAACAATAAAAAGCCAGAAAAAAAAAGTAAATATTTATTGAAAGCGTCCTGCTCAGAGTAAGACATCTTGGGCGGTCCCTGGCTATGGATGGAGTCGAACTGCTGCCTTTGATGTGTTCCGGCTTAGAATTTAAGTTTAAAGCAAATCAGAGAATCTCGGAGGGATGCGGATGTTCTGATGGATTTCGTTCCTATTGTAAGGACGGGAGAACGAACGTCACACACCCCTCACCGGATTAGGAGCGCTGAAGTGTTTGTGTAGCCTTTAACAACGCAGTTCTTAAAAAATCCATATGAAACTTTTTATAAAAGTGTCGCTATCTTTTTTTTAACGATTCCCGTACGTTAATTCCGTGACCGTCGCGCTCGGTTTCCCCTCAGAGCCCCGTATCCTCTCTCGGACCGATCGCACTGCATCCAACCCGCCCGCCCCCGACTCGAGAGCGAAAAAAACAAAACAGTCCCGAATTTCCCTCAGCTTTAAGCTCTGCAGTTTTCATACCGCGGCTCAGAGGCTTAAGCGACAGAACCGCGCTGCGCCGGGAGACAAGCCGAAGCCCGGCGCGGGGGAACGGCCCCATCCCGGGCACACAGAGCAAGGGCTGAACTTGGCGCTAATGCTTTCGTGCATCACGATGTGTGGGTATACCCTGCCCTGTGCCCGCCCTGCTCACAGCCTGTCATGGGAGCTTGTTTTGTCATCCCGTGCATTGATGGAACACTTGGCTGTGCCAAAACAAAGGCAGAGGCAGTGCCCGCTGGCTCCGTGCGGCGCGGTGATGTACCCTTGAGCAAGCACACCTATTCCGGTAGATACTTTGAAACGTCTCGTCTGAATATCTCGAAACAATTATCGGTGTTAAAAGTAGCACCAATAAAATAAATGAAATTATAACCCGAAAAAACAATCCGGAGTAATCTGGGCTGTTTGTCATGCAGCTTAATGTTACTGGCAAATCCCACTCTGCACTGCTTCAGCATTTACTGTTCGAAACACCAGGCTTTAAAGGCAGACTTGTGAGGTGGAGTTGCGAACGCAGTACAGGAGCGCAGGACAAAGGGAGATGTACAGATGTGCAATGGAAACCCACCTGTGCAGAGAGCACATTCCGAGCACAGGATCCAGCAGGGCTGTTCTGCACTGGCTGCTTCTTCCCTCGGTAACAGCAGAGCCCACGAGCACCAAATTCAGAGATGAGTGAATTGGGTGAACCCTTATCTCAAGGGCTGGAAAAGAAGAAATATCAAACGCAAATCAGCTCACAGCGTTCTGTTAATGTGTTTGCACACAGAGCTGTGACACTGGCTCACATCCGTCTGCCCAGCGGTCCCTCGTGCTGCCCTGTGCCCATGAGAGGAAAGCTCCCCATGGGGACATGTGGGCATCGGCTGAGAACGGAGCTTCTCCAAGCAGCTTCTCTGGCACGCTGGCTCCAGCACTTCACTTTCCTGTGACACTGAACCTCATAAGTAAAGTGAGGACAATGGTATTCCCTACTTTGCATTGGTAAATTGGATACTTTGGGATTTAGCACTTCACCCCTAACCCCTAAAACTGCTCCCAGTTTGGCCCTCTTCCCGCGCTCACTAAATATTTAAACACACACTGACTGAATGGGAACAGAACTATGCTGCACATAAATATGCTCTTTACATACAGGGCCAATTTGAAATTGGTAAACAGTTTTATTGCTTTCGACAGCCTTTTATTCCTTGAATTGGCTTTTTTCCTCCAAATCTAATTAAGTGCTTGAGCTGGTGAAGCACTTATGCATTTGCTCAAATCCAAACTGACAAACTGTGCACTTGTTTAACTCAGGCACCTGCTCAGCTCCCTTCCAGCCAAGTGGTGTTGGTGTGCTCAGATCTGGGCTGCATCAGGGCTTGCTCATAGTTCTGAAGTGATCCCGCTTTCTCCCTGGCTTCCCACTTCAATCTACAGAGCAGAATGCCATTCCTTTAAGAAAATAATAATAATAATAATAATAATAAATTACAAGTCCAAAATCTTCCTGCAAGTTTCTTTTTTGTGTGTGTGTTTCTTTTCAATCTGTGCTCAGTTTTGGTTACTCACACCAATTTGCCCTCGGTGCTGTGAGCTCATCCCACAGTTTGCAGGCAGATCTGTGCCTTGGAAATACACAAAGGAAACACATGCAGAAGGATCAGCCTGACTGAACAGTGAATCCTCACTGCCCTCCATCACAGAGAACTTAAAATAAACGTTCATATTGGTAGGGTTTAAAACAGTGCAAAGAGATCCTTCACACAGTATTTTTCCTTATCTTTCTCTCAAAAAGAAAGGTTTTGCTGTCACTGCAAACAGGGCAGAAAACAAGCTTTTTTTCTCAAGGCTTCTTATTTAGATCTTTTAGGAACAATTTTGAACTCTTTTCCCATGATTGATGTCAACACTCATGATTCTAGCCTTAAAATAGTTTTCTTTAATGAGACTTCAGTTCCTATTTCACTCTCCATTGTTCCTTTTTTTTTTTTTTTTTTTTTTTTTTTTCCAGAACTGATTAACCTTCAGTCCCCAAATGTTATCAGTTCCCATCAATGGCTGTTACTATTCTTGGACACACTGTATATTGTGTGGAACCACTGCTTTGATAGGTTGCAAAAAAAGAAAAGAAGTTTTCAACTATTTTAAGTGGTAATTACATACTCGTCCAGCACTGATAAGAAATTGTTTAAAGTGTAGCCAAGTGCACCTTTGTTACTTAGCCCTGTATTTAAGAAATACAGGTTGTGACTCAATGCCTGTTTTCATTGAGAGTATCGTCATTCCTGGTACCAGCTTGGTCTGGTGGGTATCTGCATGGTAAAATCTGACTGTTCAGACTAGGAAAAAATAAAAAGCATGTGTTGGAATCTGAGATGAAGGAGGGGGTGAGAGCAAAAAACAGGAGAGTAAAAGTGATGCTGCTTGAGGAACAGAGAAATAGGATTGTCAGGAAGGTCCAGGCACTTTGTTACGGCATCTTCTCTATCAGTTATGCCACAGTGTACAAAGCTTTTCTGTCAGCCACTAGTAGTAAAATGTGTGGAGAATGTGATGTGCACTGGTAAGGGAAGAGCATGTTTTGGTGAAGGCTTTCCAGCATCATTCTGTGAATTATGTTAGTTCTTAGAAACTTCTGCTGGATATTACCTCAAAAACATTGGTCTCATCTACTTACACCTTGCCATCATGTTTGTAAGAATGGATACTTTCATTAATATTTTGTTCCAATTACTGAGCTGTGTAGAAAGTTCTGTTCATAGGAGTACAGTTAACTCTTAAAGGATGCTTAAATTAAAACCCTGAGGCTAGCAATTGATAACAACAGCAAGGGAGTTATCAAGAATGGGACAGATGCTGGGTGTTCAAGTCCATTCTTTCCTACTGGGTCTTGAGCAAAATTCTGCAGTGGTGTAAAGGTTTCATAACCCATCAAATTTTTCTTCTGGGGCACTCAGAGAAAAACCTTCATCCCCCAGTGCCCAAAGAGTTCATCCCAGCTGCTTTCCATTCTGTTTAGGATCTTCTTGCACAAACCGGAGTTTGTAGAAGCAGGAATGACTTCTGAATAACGCGGTCTGTTCTCTACAGTCTGCAGTTTGAATATGTCAGATCTGAACCTTATTTATTTAAATCTTGACCTCAGACAATAGGTTCTATTTCCGAAGCTCTTGTCCCAGAGTTAAAGTGACATGAACACGAAAGTTTTATGGAGTTCTGCTCTGAAGATCTCTTGACCACAAGTTGATGAGGGATGGGAACCTTGAAAGAAAAAGGGAGACAAAATCGAGGTATTTTCCTGGGGAAGATGTTAAATTTTAATGGGATCAGCTGCCATCATTCTCATTCCTGGGCCAGATAAGCAGCCAGCAGATGGCTCAACCATAGATACGGTCAGGCATGGGATTTATAAATGGAGGTAATGGCCCACAAAGGCCTCCATGAATCCTTCTTGCAAATTCGCAAGAGATGTAATCTCTGCTTAAACCCTTTCTGCCCCCATCGGGGGCTGCTATCCCTGCAAAGGAGAGTTGATTGCCCCAAATAACAGCAATTGCAGTCAGCACAGTGTGCTGGCCTGACCCACATTTGCCAGGTGACATCTGACTGCAGGACA